GCACTCACTTCTAAGCTTCTGTCAGATCGGGTATGATTATCTCTGAGCTCCTGCCAGTTCGGGTGTCATCCCCTCTGCTGGACAGAACCGCCACTGCTCTCTTTGTCGGAGTCATCTCTGCGGCTGGCGATGACGGTGGCAGGTGACCGTTGAAGTGCGGCTGTCAAGCGACAGATCCCAAGTCAGTCAGGTGCGCCGCCCTTGGATACGGACCTCCTCGGTGTCAGGTATGGTACGTTTGTTCAGTTTGGCGTCCTGGAGGCAAAGTGCTGGAGTGGTGAGCGACGTGAAGTCTTGAGTTCGGATAGGGGAGTGTCCCGAACTGCCATGGGACGAGCCAGTTCGGGTTGTTGCCTTGTGTGAGGCTCGGGGCCTAAGGGAGAGTTCGGTCTCCTTGTAGGGACTTCGGGCCCTTAGTAGGGAGTTCGGGCTCCTAATAGGGAGTTCAGGCCCCTAGTAGGGAGTTCGGGCTCCTTGTAGGGAGTTCGGACTACTGGTAGGGAGTTCGGATTGCTGGTTCCTCCCTTCGGTGCTCACGCTTTGGGCGTACTGTTGTGCCGAGCTGTTGCCTTTGCCACGTGTTGAGTGATTACGAGGTTGGGCCAAATCTTCCTTCATCATATTCGATTCTAGAAATCATGGTTTCTTAGCTGAGGATTCAAAGCACATAGATTCCTTCCCAGAAATAGCATTGAACCCATTATCCAACCTCTGCTTTACTGCCAAGAAGAAAATATTTTGTTTTTATTTGCTATGAAATTAAATGTCATTTAGCTCTTGTTTACAATCTTGAATATGTGATTTGTAATTTAAAATTTCATCTGATCAATGTGATTGTTATATCGAAACTACAGTTGCCGGAAACACTGATTATAACATATATTTTTTATTCCTTCTTTCAAACTGTGAAAAATGTTCTCATCATCTTTTCAGATCAAAATTAAATTGATTTGAAATTTTCAATTACAAAAACTAGAAACTATGCAACTTCAAATGAGCAATTCTTTAAATGGGAAAGTAGACGTGTGAAAAAAGGTAGGCGGTGAGTGTTAAAAACTTAAAATTTCAGAGTACTTTATATTGAAAAACCAAAAAACAAAAAATATGCATAACTTTACATAGGAAAATTACTTCAAAACGGCCCACCGTTAGCCTGGCAACGTGGCAACAGACTACACGTTGTGGGCAGAAAATTCCTGCCCACAGTGGCAGCCAAAGTTTTTCCTAGATACATTAAGGGTGGATTCGAGTTGAGCCGAACCAAATATTTGGTTAATCGAGCTAGGCCCGCTGAAATAGTCTTAAGATTGAGCTCGGCTTGGTTTAAAGTTCATAAATTTGAGTTTAGCTCATTTCAAGCTCGATTATAAACTAAATTTAAAAAATAAAAATAAAAATGATACATATAAAAATATTTTTTATTTTACATACAACAAAATAAGAATTATAAAAAAATATTTATTATTATATATAAAAAATAAAAAATATATATATAAAAATTGTTTTTATTTTATAAACAAAAAATAAGAATTATAAAAATTATTTACTATTATTATATATATAATAAAAATTCTTTATTATATATTTATATATGTATATAAATCAAGTCGATCTGAACTTTTCATGAGCCAGGCTCAAATAGCTCGTGGGAAGCCTGGTTCATGACCACCCCTACTTATTTGGATGGTCCATTTGCTTAAGCTGTGTTTGATTGCAATGCAAATAAATTTGCACTGATACAAAATCATAATAGTACAAAAGATTTGAGTATAAGTTATGACCTATTTTTGTTTCAAAATTTAGCTTATTTTGTTTGATTATAGTACAAATGAAGTAAATTAAGACGTGAAGTAGAATAAAATAAAATTCAGAATTGTACTAGTGCAAATAAAATTGCACTGCAACCAAATACAGCCTTATTATCATTGAGTTTTCATTCCAGTGTGAACGAGTAAAAGTGAAACAAATATAATATTGATAATTATATAGGTATGAGAGTCTTTGAGCAGCAATCCGACCTTAGCTCAGTTGGTAGAGCGGAGGACTGTAGTGGGAAAAGCTCTCAGCCATCCTTAGGTCGCTGGTTCGAATCCGGCAGGTCGGATGCTTTTTTCTTTATTTTAAATTTTATTAATTCTCACATGAAACCATGAATTTGTGCGCTCTGACTGGTCCAAAGTTTCTTTGAAACGTGTCGAAATCTTAGTACAGGCGATGTAGATAGATCCTCGGCTCTTCGCTTGATGAGAGAGAGAGAGAGAGAGAGAGAGAGAGGGGAGCACATATATAAAAACGGTCCACTGAACTGATCTCTGCGCGCTGGGAAAAGCCCCGTAATCTTAAAGCAATGGTTTGGCGCCTATTCTCGATCAAGAACCGATTTCTGACTCTACGAACCCTAATCCCCTCCATCTCTGCTACATCACATTCGAATCCACTTCAAAACCCTAGTCTTAACTCTCTGCAAAACCTGTTCACACCCTACCTTCACCACTCCTGCTCGTCTTTCTCCACCTCGTTCATCAGTACAAAAACGAAGAAGAAGAAGAAACGAAAGAAGAAAGAGAGCGCGAGAACGAAACTTGTCCAACACGAATCCAACCGTGTTCAACATTTCGAAGAAATCGTCCAGCGCGACGCTTTCTTTCGTTTCCTTACTAAAAGTAAAGAGTTTCTCTCCAAGCAGCCCGAACATGTCCTCCGCCTCGATGACGCTGGTAAGCTCTACCATGAATTAGGGTTCCCAAGGGGTCGAAAGGTTGTTCGATCGATAGAACGTCATCCACTTATCTTTCAGACTTATCGCCATACCGACGGTAAGATGTGGTTTGGTTTCACTGATTTAATGGAGGACTTGCTCGAAGAGGAGAGGTCTATTATGAACGAAATGGAGAAAGATAGAGTTACTAAAGTCCGTAAGCTGCTCATGATGTCGGCACAGAAACGAATTCCGCTTAGTAAGATTTACCATTGTCGGCTTTTATTCGGCATCCCGGAAGATTTTAGAGACCGCGTTTGTAAGTATCCAGAATTTTTCAGGATAGTAATTGGGAACGATGGCAAGCGAATACTCGAGCTTCTGAATTGGGATCCCTCATTGGCTGTGAGTGCACTCGAGCGGCAGTTTGTGGTGGATGAGGATCGCGTGAAAAAGGCATTTAAATTTCCAGTCAGCCATGGAAAATCGTTGGACCTGGATGAGGATGATGCTAGGAAATTGAACTTGCTTAACACACTTCCGCTTGTGTCACCCTATTCGGATGGTTCAAAATTGAGCCTTTGGACATTGGAAGCTGAGAAGTACAGGGTTGGGATTTTGCATGAATTTTTGAGCTTGACATTGGAGAAGAGGGCTTCTATACATCATATTGTTGAGTTCAAGGAGGAGCTAAGTCTTACAAAACACACTTATCAGATGCTTCTGAAGCAGCCCAACGCATTTTATCTGGCTGGTACTGAGATGAACTGGGCTGTATTCTTGAGAGATGGCTACAACGAAAGTGGGGTTTTGATTGAAAAAGACCCACAGGTTGTCTTCAATGAGAAGCTTTATAGATATGCTCTCATGAAAGAAATGGAATCATAATATCAAGATGGATTTGCTATTTGTTAGAGATTGACTGCTGGAAGATATGATGTAGCTAATTGATTTGTGTAAGTCAGAGTACATTTAGTGAAATTTGTTCGGACACATATAGTTTTGTAACAAAACGGTTTTGAGCTTTAGCAATGAAAATACACTAAAGCAGTATGTGGGGTCAAGATGAAGATTGGGTGGATCTGAACCAGCATTCCTGTTTACATGGTTCAGGTATTCTGCCTCAATTGCTGACTTCTCCATCCTGTTATTATTGGGGAAATTGTCTCCACTTATTTTCTGCTCTAATAGGAACTTGCAGTCATGCTTATTTTTTTTATTGCTCGAGTCATTAATTTATTCGAAGGTACGTTCCTTTTCAGGAATTATTTTTCAATTCCAAGTTATCTTTTCCTCTTTCAAATTAGATCCAATGGGGCTGGCAACTTCTGCAGTTGGATGAACTACATAAATATTTTGGAGCCCCTAGGCTGTGTATATTTGTTACTAGATTTTTAACATGCTATTCTAGACCTTACAGAACTGAATCTTTCTTCGCTGGGAGAGAAGTGCTGTGATGGGCTCATCTGGTAGCTGTTTCTATTTCTATCTTCCTGGAATAGGCTTAAGGCTGAAAATCCCCTTGATTGCTATGGCATTGGAATTATAAGACTATGATTCCATGCATTAATCTACTCCACTAAATCAAGACAAAAGAAATTAATTTATAACACGTCTGATCCAATTGTTATAATGATAATGAACCTGATGTACAGTCAATAACAATTTGATAATAAAGTAAATTAGCGCAAATAAAAAAAGCAAAAAAATAACAATTTGATAATGATCTATCAAGAAAAATAACATTTTGGTAATGAACGACTGAATGCAGCACATAGATTGGGTATTGTAATCCACCTAAGATTTAAATTTTATTGTTGGAGAGGACCTACTTTTTCTGCTACAATTGCAGAAAGAAAAATTTATTAAAAGAACATATATTCTGATTGTTTTCCAGACATATGTTACTTGAACAGTATCTGTTATATGGTCTTGTACCTCTGTATTCTTCAGTTCTAAGGAGACAGGAACCTAAATCTGGTGTATGTATTAGGACTGTGCAATCAGTGTGATTAACAGCTGAGATTTCATGATCTGGGTCTCCCCAGCAGTAGAGGATCATTCTCACTCATCCTTGATCTGATGTTTGAGATGGTCATACTGATACAGTTGTCTGACAGACTTCCAAAACTTTCGACTTAGCGTAAAAAAGAAGGAAAGAAATTTAATTAGATTACTGCAGTAAATTGGTTGTCTAAACTCGAAACTGCCAAGTGGTTGATTACTTATTTCAAATTGGGGCTCCCTCAAGTTTTATCATTCATTTTTCCCAGGATAAATTTTGAGGAACATAAACTCTTTTGTTTTGACCAAAGTTAATTAGTTTGGTGAAAATGGTCAGAATATTATATAAAATATATATTTTTAAAATTTTTGTAACATAGGAGTCATTATATGATCATCATTGTCATTTGTTTTATCTTATCTAAGTTGGGTTGACAGCAGAATCCTATTTCTCCATGTTTCTCCAAGGCCACAAATGCTATTACAAAATGGTATAAAATATCTTTCTTGACCACTTTTTGAGTGTCTTTTAGCTTTCCCCTTGTCCTTTTAGAACCTTCAGCTTGCACCAAGCCAGAATTTCAAAGACTTGAGGTACAATGATTTGTGACACTTTGCAGTGAGGACAAAGAAAATACCCTGGATTCAAGCTGAGTGAGGAGAAACAGAAGATACAGTATACACTAGATGCATGATCTGTATGTACATTAGCATGAAATATCAGTATGTACATTGTTGTGAACTGTTTGTATCTTTTCTTGCAAACGTCTTGGGAGAACTTTCAAAGCAGAAATTTTCCTTATAGACAAAGTACATGAACTTCCAATATAGGTCTGTAATCCAGAGTCAATTTTCCAAGGCTTTCAGCTACAAGATATGTATGCATCTCAAACATTCTTATTCACTTGTCAAGATCCACAAATGCAGGAACATTAGGCTTTTAATAACTCTGTTGTTGATCTGGGACTTGGACAATGATGAAGGATGTTTTTAATGTGTTTATATGTTGTTGTGGAAGTAAATATTTTATTAAAGAGAACAGATGAAACATTAATGAATAGAACCCCAAAAAGTCAAGCTTCTGCATTCTGCAGTTTTTGGGCCTCAGAGATTGATTTGATAGGTATCATCCAATATCCATCTCATCTGGCCCATGTGGAAATAGGTATATTTCTTAACTTCTGTTCTTATTTTCTTCATTATCATGATCATGATTGTCATATTCATCTAAGCCTCATCCTAACTATATGTGTGCAATCATTCCAGTACTAATCCATTGGTTCCCATCAGAACTCTGAAGTTAAGTTGGTGACCTCCTTGGAAGTCCTTGTGTTGCACCCCTCTTTTTTTTTATTTCTTTCGAAGGGCTACACAACCATGAGGGGGGGGGGGATAACCCCCAACCCAGGTACAGGCAGGATTCAATCCCAAGTCTCCGCTACAACCAGCAGGAGGCCTTACCAATCAGCTGGTTGGCACCTTGTGTTGCACCCGTCCTTTTTGAGTTATTTTCTTTTCTTGCGAAGGTTTATTTTAGAAGGTTCCTTAAATTGCAAATTTAAGGTTTGCCAATGGAATTGGGTTTTATCCTCTAATTGTGACAAGTGATTTCTCTTATGGTGGAGAAATTTTATCAAGCCTTTGGTTTCTTTATTTTTTCCCTTTCATGTCTCTTGGTCTCTTTGTTTCAAGTAAATTCTTGGGAAAAACATTTTTTGGATTTAATTTCCCCATGTTTTGTTCTGAGGAAAAAATAAAATAAAATCTGAGGAAATGTTTCTGTAAGCTCCATTTTTTTCACCATAAAATTGATTGAATTTTTTACATCAGTTGTAGGAACTTTCTCAAATGTCATCCTAAATTTCCTGAGAAATGCTGATAGCAAATTGATATCACCCCCTCTCAGTGTACATGGCTACATGCATAACCATTTTTCTTTCCAGATGTTTTAGTGAGTTTTAGTGGGGGCCTCTGTACCATTTTGTGGCCTCTCTCTTGTAACATCAATAGCTCAGATGGTGCCTCTTTGCAGCTTCATGGTCTCCATTTTTAAGTTCTCAAATCTAACTTCTTCATCTTCTTGCTAGTTAGATCTTCAGAGCAAAGACTATGGTCAATTTCCATAGCACTATTAACAAAACATTTCCATGCCTTATTGCCTTTAACCATAAATTCAAAGAAACATGTTCAGGAGCTTTCCTAGTTCTGTCTGAGTTCTTAGCTAGTTCACATCAACTTATTGCAGTGGAACTGGTCGATATTATTGTGTGATGATTGTTTTATGTTTTCCAAGTTATGAATTGTATTGCAACTCTTCTTTGCGTTTCTTTCTTCCATGAATCAAAGGCAAAAAAACACAGTTTGTTAACAAGGTTTGCTTTGGCCATCTATCTAAAAAAAGGATTTTATATGGCTGCCGCAATACAAATAAACCCCTTTTTAAGTTTTTGTTTATGTTTCTAGTACATATTGATATCCTTGTTTAGCATTTCCAATCCCAATAAATTATGTTCTTTTATTGGTCTAATGCAAACTTAGCCCACTCGTTTCTAGATTAAACAACCTTAGCCATTGGACCAACTTGAAAGGCAAATAAAGGAAAATGAGTTTGGTAAATTTGATCAATTGTAAGTTTATGCTCATGAAGGGATGGCAGCATCTCCAATTTACTCTCTTTATTTGCCAAAATGGTCATTTTATCATTTCCAGTTCCCGAGACCTGAAATGAGATGGGACGGATGATCTACAAATTATGCCTTTTATCCTTTGTCCACTTGTGTGTATCAATTTCCAGATTAAACCTTACATATCCAGTTCCAGGGACTCAAAAAAAGGATTTTTTAATGAGTAATTAAAACATTTTATTAACTAAGCTTTATGAGTATCTAAGAAAATAAACAAGCAAACCTGAGTTTCTTTTTCATTTTTTAGAGAGTGGTGGTGGAAATGGGATTTGTTCGAAATGAAACAAGCCCCAGTAATCTTTGTCAAATTCTTAACAAGGATCACACGGAAGGACTTCATAGAGAATTGCCATCCTGTCCTAGTTATCAGAAAAAAAAGTTACCTTCCTTTTCCTTTATGGCTGTTAACAACATATACAATCCCTTTGTTCCAGCAAGATCAGAATTCTTTCCAACTTTTGAAGGAGAAAAGGCAATCAGTAATTTTCCTACTCATAAGAGCCACCTAGAGAAAGTTTCTTAATAACAATGGTGCTATTCTTGGTGTAGAACTCAATAGTCAGATTATCCAGTTAGAAGACAACTCAATAAAGATATAATGTCAAGTATCTTTTGAAGCTTGCAAAACTAGACATTTGGTTTAGTTGGACAAATATGAAACACCAAGGATGGGCTATTTTTTTGTTTCATTCCTGTCATGGGCACTGAACAGAATGGAGAACAGGATTCATGTAGTCAACTCCATGTAAATGGGACAACTCCATGTTAACAAGGTACCACCGGTTCGATTTGAAAAAATGACCCACAGTTCTGTTAACCAAACTGTGAGCACCCCTGCTGTTTCCAAGATTTGAACCTTGGTCAGGTCGCAATGGAGCAACCCAAACATTGCACCAAGCCCGCCCTCAATTTCTAATCAGTAATTCTTAGCTTTAAGTTATCATGCCTTGCAATGATTTTCTGAAAGACTGATTGTCTTAGCAGCCGTGTGGAGAATGTCATAGAGAATTAGAGCCTGGAAAGGCACCAGTCACCATGCGTCACTCAAGGAAGAGGTATGTGGAATGAACTTCACAAGCAAAACCTTGTAATGATAAATTTAATTGAAGCCATATCTCGGTGTTCCTCTGGAATATATTGAGTTATGGAATTTGAATTTACTTGTCCTATTGACGATTCTTGTAACAGTTTTCTATCTATGCCCTGCATATTCGCCAGGAACTGTGATAAAAGGGCCAGTGAAAAAGTAAAAACACAAGGAAGCCTTTTTCTGAATGATCCAATCAAAAGACAGTTTGTATGTGATGATCCAATCAAAAGCTCTGACTGAATAACTCATGTGAGCCCTAATTTGTTCATCAATCATCAATTAAATAAGCTATAATATAGTTCCTAGTTTCGAAGGATTCATTCCAATGTACATAAGACTCTTTAACTCATAAAATTCATTGTCATTTGAAAATGCTCGCTCTAAAGTCTGAAGTAACTCTTGTGCAGAAGAAACTCTCTTAGTCCTAGGAGAGTTGCTATAGCGCCAAGTTTGGTAGGTCAAAACTCAAAAGTGAACCCTGCACTATCCCGAGTCATGCATGACAATGATTCCATCTGAAGCCGATTAACTGGCATCTCATCAATAAATTTGCTTAGATTCCTCACATTCGAAATCGTTTGACTACATCTCTTCTCATAACATTTGAGGTAAAAATGCGATAAGTACTATTTTCAACGAACTATTCATCCAATAAGGAAACAAAAAGAAAAAAAAAATCTAAATAAGCATTTATTTTCATATTAACAAAACAAAAAAAAATCACTCCATTTATAATTCATGGTTTCAGGCTTCCTAACTCCTAAGAAGAGGGGAAATTCCTAACGAGAAGAAGCAATCAACGATGATCTCCTGGTGGTTGAGTTGTGGTGACTTCTGCTTTTTGTGCCGTGGCTACTTTTCTGACTGCCACCACCTATGTTGCTCTTATGCCCAGTGGAAGAAGATCTACCTTGGTTCACCCGCTTCGGTGCCTTCCTTCGAGCCCGTCCATTGTTTCCAAGTGCAGCTTTTGCGACACCGTCCATGGCTGCCTCCCGGCCCCTATGTGGCTTGATGGGCTGCTTGTTGAGATAAGTTAGTTGTGGAAGGAGTCCAGAGACTGCTTTCCGCAGCTGGTCTTCGCCAATGTTGCTCTGAATCGGATTCCCCAACAGATTTAGAGCCAGCAGGGTGTGGTAATTTGCCACTAGCTGGCCAAGTGCTTTGGTCGTCGTGATTTTATTGAAGCTTAGGTCCAGGACTGTTAGCTTCGTAAGCCTGTGCAGCCCCTCGACATCACTAATCTTGTTTCCCGCCAGATAGAGCTCTTTGATGAGTGAGCAATTGGACAACCCTAACAAGGAACGGTCAAGCAACACATATCAGTTATGGTATCCTTTATGCAATCGTAGAGAACCAACAGAATAGATGAGGTTCACAAGCAAATTTTACCATGGCCTACTCGGGAGATCCTGTTGTAACTGAGATCAACTGCCCTTAATCGATTCAGCTCTCTGAGTCCCTCAATAGCAACAATTTTGTTTCTGGACAAGTTGAGGGTATGAAGGCCCTTGGGCAGCGACCCTGGAGCAATGTGAACTGTAAGCAGAGGCCAAAACAAAACCTAACATGTTAGTTTCTATGTCACTGGTTAAGAGCAACCACGATTCATTTCTAATTAAAGCTTTGGACGTGTTGTCTTACCTATGAAGTTGCCTGATAAGTTGACAGTTCTGAGACTGGAGAATCCTGAAATGGTGGGTAAGACCTTCAAGCCCATGCCAACAATATGGGCTACAGTGGAGGAAGAATTTAGCGATTGGATAATATTGTTGGCATACAGAATTTCTTCTGAAATACCATAATTAAGGTTCTCAAGGCGCTGACTCATGTGAGTTGTGCTTCTTGCTGGTGAGTCTCCATGTTCAGGAGAAGGTGGAAAGACAATACATTCATCACCAGTGTCTTCACCTGTAACTGGAAAAGAAGTTTGGATCTCAAGACTGTTCACCCATTCATCAACTCTTGTCAAAGAGGATGATTCTGTACAGAATGCAACCCATTGGTTCTGCAGCGACGAACCAGAAACACCCTCATGAAATGAACCCCGGTTCTTGTTGTTGCTAGCAGTGTTGTTGATGCTGCCATTTTTCTTGAATTGTTTGGTGAATGATTCTGGAGATTCTGTCTTGCCTGACTCTGTGATAACTCGGTTGATTTCCACAGTATCTGAAGAATATCCACCTTTCTGGTTCGTAATATGGTCAATGGAGGGCAGTTTCAGTTTTACATTGGATGGTTTGTGAAGGTTTCTGTGGCTCCAGAGGAACAATTTCCACCATAGCCTCCTACTCCTTGAAGACAGAACTCGACTTGAAGAATGTTTCTTCAATATCACTCTGTCGGCACTGCAAGGAGTGATAACTGATACTGGACTGCCCTGAATTTCTGGAACGATCTCCGCTTCCTTCTCTGTTAAATTATTCAAGTCATCAAAAGGCTGACACCTCAAAGGAGACGACTGGTCAGCTGTCCTCAGAATGTCCCTCCTTTCAAGGTTGGAACAGGAGCGCTTAAGCTCGGGGGAAGCCCAGAACTTTGTATTCGTAATGCCTGGATCACTAACATGACCATTTTGTATTGTCTCGGTCCCCGTTTCAGCATCTTTCTCTGATTTGCTCTCAGACTGATTAATCATCTCGTTATCGACTGAATAGGAAGAGTCCATCTCTCTATTCATTGGTAGGTCCATGTGCTCTCTTCTTTTGGACGCTTGAACTTGGAGATGAAAATCAGAGAAGTAATCCTTCTTGATAGACGGGGTATCATCGTCCTCATCTTCCCCTTCATAAGCCGCTTCAGTTGCTTCAGCTTCAACAGGATTTTCCTCACTAACCACCTTCACTTCGAAGGTGGATTTTTGCTGGATTACAAACGGTATCGAGACACTGAAAGACGTCAAATTCAATTCGTTCACATCACAATTTTTTACGGGATGTTCCAGCTTTACTTGGACAGTTTCAAGTCCGTCATTGTAATGGATAAGGTCTGAATTTCCCTCCTTTCCCTGATGGCAGACAAGAAAAACAGTCTGTTACAGTCAAATTAAGGAAAACACATACACATACACATACACACACAGAATTCAGAATTGCTTTCTCACCATGTATTTCTTCTTCCTTCCACCGCCCAATACATAGAAACAGTTGAACATTGTCATCTTAATAGTGGGGATTTATTAAAGGGAAAAGAAGAGAAGAAGATTTCTACAGAGAGATAACAAGAGAAACAGAAAAAATTTTCGCCTTTTTCCTCTGTTGATATTCACATCTTTGAAGGCTGAAAAAGAAACTCATGTAGGCTAGCAAAAGAGCAGCAGCAATGCCATTAGGGAAATGATAGTTTCAAAGGTTAGCCATAATCAACTGGGAGGCGCCAAACTAGAGAGCGAGAAAAATTGGAAATCAAAGGTGAAGCGACGAAGGCAACGAGGAGAAGTCCTCCCAGTAGAGAACCCAGTTCCCTTAAGGTCCGAGAAGATATGATTGGAATGTCGGCCAGAGTGATAAAAGACAACAGCTTCTCCACGGAAGCTCTCTTGAGTCTGTTCTCAAGAAGAAATCTCTCCTGCATCCATGAACAACTAAAGCTTATTAACATATATAGCAGCATAAAAAGCCATAAATTACACGCATGCTCACAAACAGACACCCATACAGAGATAATGGAGGTTTCAGAATTCCAACGTCAGATGGGTGTAAACAAAGCAACAAAGAAAGAACTAGGACAAAGAAAAAAGAAATGATGTAGTAAGAAAATCAAAAGGAAAAGAATACAGACGTAAGAAGCAAAAGAAGGAAGTGGGTATTCGTTGTTCGAGAGGCACCTGTGTCGAAGTTCTGCAGAAGGTAATTAGAAGGGAGACAGAAAAGAAAATAGAAGAATCTGATTTATTATCTCGTAAGAAGTTAAATGGTTGACAAAGAAGGCCGTAGGAGATCTGTTCGGTTCGGTGGTCACCGCTCACCGCTGAAAACATGAAATATATATAGAACTATAGAAGAGAGAGAGAGAGAGAGAGAGAGAGAGAGAAATGTGGCTGGAGATTTCGTGGTTGGAAGAAACGAGAAAAATATACAATAGAAGTAAAAATTGGGCATTGTTTTCCTAGGACACAAGAGCAGCCGCGTAGGCAACACGTTGTGTTGATCGACTAGTGTTCTTTCTGTTTACCAAAAATAAAATAGAAAAAAAAAAGGAGAATTTGGATTACATCCGTCCATTTTTCTAAAGTTGGATCACATTACATTATTTTTCTTGCAACTATATAAATAATGCAGGTTGGATTACATTGCACTACATTACATTACATGCTTCTAAAAACAAAAGCACCGTTTGGATCGTTCCTCTTTTCACTGGAACTGTGCTCGATTTATTAAAAATTTGATGTACCCGAATCATACTCGAAAGAGTTGATTTTGTCGGTATAATTGCTCTTTCTACCCCCTTTTGGATTTGATCGATAAATAGGATCTCAGGCTCTCATTCGATATTATTGGAGGCAATTATATAGTTTATAATTGAAGCAGGTATATGTGAAAGGACTTTTTACAAAATCAGATACGTTTTGAAACATATGACGAAAACAGTGAGCATTCTTTTTTGACCAAATTGCCCCGTATTAAATCAGCAAATCAAATCGTCCTCATCTTCCACCTTCCACGGCTGACGATGGCTAAGGGCTAAGCTAGGGAGGAAGCTGAGCAGGTCATATTTGGACCTCTAGAAAACCTAAGGACATTGGTATATTAGTCGTAAACTGTATCTTGTTCATTCTAACCCCTGTGCTGTCCGCCATGACTTGGCCAAGGACATGCTTCAGGTTCACTGCAACATTTATGCCATTGATAGATTGAAGACTTTTTTATTTTTTTGAGAAGATTTTCTTGTAGTTGTAGTTGTGATAATTAAAAGATGTAGGCAGTTTGAAGATTGTTTGATAGATGATGCACAGTCTTTCATGTATCGTTTTGAGTCTTTTCGTGCGAAATTAAAATATGAAAAATGCGAAAAACTTTGTTTGAAGTTTCTCAAAATGGATTTTTCGACGTCCCATTTTTTGTCGGTTAAATCTTCCGCGTATCAAAAATAAAAAAGACCGCGCGTAAAGACGCGCCGAACGAGAACATGTTTTATTGGATTGGCAGTAGTAAGATCGCAATTCGTGCCAGTTGCGCATGGAAACAATAATATTTGAAACTTGAAAGGACAGTGACTCACACTCAGCAATACCAACCCATACCAGATATTGGACAGGAAATCACGTGGAGCTGCTGTTTCAGATTCTGAGCGAGCATATGGCTTATATGGGGCTGGGGGGATGTCAGTACGCACTCCGGCGCGTGTCAGCCAAAAGCAAAAGTTGTCCACTGCACTCACTTTTCAACCCATATGTAAATGTTATGTACGGTGTCGTATATCGTCTCCAAAGCGCCGGCTTAGCCATACACGTCTCTCTATATTCCATCCGTTTACCATTATCATTACTTGCATTTTTGCCGATTTGATACCGGTTACGGGTGGGTTACTCGTTCAAAGTTTGGCGATTAGAATTTCTTTTTTTTTTTTTCATGGGATTGTAGCACAACCCCCCAATCCTAGTGACAGCGGAATTTGATCCCAGGTTTATATTCCAACGAGTCAAAAGAAGCTATCAACTGAGTTTTCGCGATTAGAACTTATTTGATAGGAAAACATTCTTGTTCGCGGCTTTATCTCTGTTGGAGACATTTATAGGCGTTACTTAAATTTGTGTAATTACACAGATTTATTAAGTCGTTTTCTCTTCCCATGTTTTTTAGATTTTTCATCTCACCATGATTAATATAATAAGCATTTATGAATGAACATACCTTTATAAGTGTCAAAAAAGATATCGGCTGGTCGGTCACTATCTGCCATCTCAACGTATGTCAAGCACATGATAAGATGGAGATGTTATTTACAATGAAACTAAGGATTGCCCGTGTGGCCCATGGAATTCAGAGCAATGCGGCGCTACTTTACACAGTTGAACACTACGTAATAAAGTGTATGACTTCGGTGCTTGTTTCTGGATCTCAAGTATTAACCCAAAGAGAACAAATGAAAATTACAGGGAAGGTGATTTTCCTTTGATAAATGTTGTAGAATAAAAATCTATTTAGAGACTCCATTTCACAGATTAACCATTTAGGTTAAAGTGTTTTTTGAGATGGTACAAGACATTGAATGGTTTAAAGCTAGGTTTTTAAAATTGACCTGGAGAACGAATCGGTTAGGGTCTGGTTCTAAAGTCAAGTGGTTCGATCGTTTGAATTGAACAATTAGCCCATTTTGACAAAAAAAAAACGGTTAAAACTATTTGAATGATACAAACGGTTAACCGCTTGGGTCAATGATTTACTAACCAAAATCAATGGTTTTTGGAGAAAATTCGGTTTTGGGAAAAATCGAAACCAGTCCCCAATTTTTCCAGTCCGGTCTGGTTTTGAAAATCATGGTTTTAAAGTTCAATCTTCATCACTCTCATTATAATTAATTAAATCCAATGAAATTATGTTGGCCTATATGACCTGGGGCCTTGATTGGTTCGATCATACCCTAATAACCAGACTTGCTCAAAACCCGTTGAAAACTGGCTAACCATCCGGTTGAACCRAAAAACCAATGAATCGGTCTTGGTTTCATGAAACCGCCCGGGTCCAAACATAAGTGAAATTTTAAAATGTTGTTAACAAGACTTAAACTCAAGACCTCTTATTTTCACAAATTACTTAATTACCACTAATCTACCTCTTTACTTATGCTAATTAATGACTATTTATAATACATATTAGATTATTATGCACTCATTTTAAAGAAAATGTAAGTTAAAAGGCTTGAACCCAAGCCATTTGTTTTAAAAATTAAGAAAGTTACCATCCATCCACCATATTTACATACATTAAAAGTTGTAAAATATATTATATATAGTATTTATATGACCCGTAGAACTTCAAGCAACAAAGAAAGCACAAACTTGAGCTACAGATTGGGTGAGAGGCTTACCTCTCATATGTAACTTTGACAGCAATATTCCAACAATCAAATTGGTCAAAAGAGTAGTTGAATGGGCTCAATAGAGGTTTGATATGGATGAATGCTTGGAAATTTCTAGAAAATTTCAGATTTGAAATGCAGATGGTGGTTTTGAAGTTTAAGTTTCAGATATTTGGGGGTTTTCAAGATGGAAGTTTTGTAGATGTTGGGAGTGCTTCTAAGATCTCTCTTCATCCGCATGCAAAGTTTTCTTGAAAGCCCCCTTAGGTTTCCTTCATTTTTCAAAGCTTGAGTGGGGTTTGTACTAGTGAAAGGGAGAAGAAGAGGTCTGAAACTCGTTCAGCTACGGTGCTTGGGATTCAACAAAGATTTTTTACATAAATAGGCAAAGATTTTTCAAAGAAAATGGTGCCTAGTCAAGCCTTCTTCTTTGGCRAAAGGTTTTCTTTGATTTATGGGTAGTTTTCACGAGTTTTGTGTGTCCAATGGGAGATTGGGGCGTGTTTGTCATGGCAGTCTCGTATTTGGGGCTGTCAGTGGCAGAAAATGTAAATTTGGTGTACTTTTAAAAGTGGTTTTGTCTTTTCTTAATTTTAAGTGGGGGTATTTTTGGGTTTTCGGGCTTTTTGGGTCTATTAGGCTCAAGTTCACTGTTCCAAGTGCTTGAACAAGTTAAGAATGGGTCTGACATTAGCCATCACACTTTTGAGGTTTCAGATTGGGACAAATGAGGTGGCGATTCAATCTAACGCGTCAAAATGATATTTTCCTAGTTTAATGGTTAAACGAGTGAATCAAGTGGTGAAATTAGACGTGTTGGGGTTCTTTTGGGTCTTTAAACATAGTGGTGAAGTCTAATTTGCCAAATGGGGTCAGGATGATGGAGATCTATGGCTAACAAGTTTGAATCAATGAAATTTGTTGAAATAGAACATTTGTTTGATAAAGGGTCAAAAGTGGGAATTTTGAGAAGAAACATGGTGGGTAGGCATTTTTGGGCATCCTGAATCTGATGGAAGTGATGRATCTTTGATGAGAGGTGTAGATTCATAGAGTTGGTTTGGGTCAAGATTGATAGATTTGGTTTGCGGAAATGGTTTATCAGTTAACAAGACGGTCTGAAATGGAATCTCACTTTTTTAACGGTCAAATGGAGGAGTTTGGTCTGGAAATTTTACGTGTTGGGGTATTTTGGGTTTGCAAACATAGTGGTGAGGTTGGTTTTACCAAATGAAGTTGGGATGATGGATGATAAGGTCTACTCAATGAGATTTGCTGAAATAAGATATAGGTTTGATGGCGGGTCAAACGAGAGAATTTTGTAATGAAATTTGGTGGGTAGGCACAGATTAAGGTGAGTAGTCAAGTTGATGATTCTGATCTAAGAAAGAAATGTTTAATCTAGGTTTTCTATTCTACTTATGTAGGGTTGTTTGGATGAAATCTCGACACTTCTGAAATTGATCGTTGTAGACTTGTAATGAGATTGTATCCTAGTGATGAATGGTTGTGTTGGATAAGGGCCATTAGAAAGGAAGTTGGCATGATGAATGATTGATGTATGACTAATTTACAGTTTCCTAAGTTTGTAGGCTATATTTGATTAGACATCGATGTTGATCTCGAAGTTTTTATTTGTCMTGTGGATTGTGTTAAAAGAGGAAATTTTGGCTTTGTAAAGTCTCAATTTGATGTGGTTGTGATTCCATGTTTTAGGGTCTAAAAGGAGGGTACGAAGAGGTAGGGTGAAGGGACCGAGCAAAAGTTGGCTGCTGACACCATAGAATGAGGTGAAATGCACTGTGACCCATGCCAATATTTATATGATTTTGTCGAGTCTAGATCTACTACTAATTGTATCAGTTGTCTCAACACATCAAGAAGTTTGTTCAACATGTGTCACACGTTTAGGATGGGGTGATGCAAAATTGTGACATTAGCATCGATTAGATCAAGATTCTATCTAGTCTAATTAAGATCTAGAGGA